CGCGGTCGGCTCCCGCGACGCCATGAACCGCAGCCGCGCCAGCAGCACCGCCAAGGCCGCGCCAGCCACGCTCTGGGGTGAGTGAGCACCGGGGTGCTGGGGGCGCTTCCCCCGGGGTGAGGACTACCTGGAAGAAGGGACGTCTCCCCTGAGCCCGCCCGCCCTTCCAGGCTGTGAGCTGAACCAGGAGAAGCGGACCTGGACCTTCAAACCGCAGAAGGAGGGGAAGCAGGACTGTAAAGTGCTGCTCAGTACGGTGGGTGTCCCCGCACGGCAGGGAGGAGGGACCACTACAGAGGAGCAGGGGGAATCTCTGGTCCCAACGCGGGCAACACGGGTCCCTCCACTGCCCTCGGCTGATGCGGCGCCCTGCCTGTTGTCCACCCTCTCAGATTTGCTTGGGGGAGAAAGCCAAAGAGGAGATGAACCTCGTGGAGATCCTGCCCCCCGCAAACCAGGAGGACAAGAGGACAAAGCCCATCACCATCGCCTCGCTGCAGGCCTCCGCCCTGCCCATGGTAAGCCTTTCCCTGCGGGCTTAGGAGCACTGCGCGGCCGGACCTAGGAGCCCCTGCTGGCCTCACCTCCTGGGTGGGCATGGAACAGCGGAGACACAGCTACCCTGCAGCAGTGTAGCCACGCCAGACAGGAGGTACAGCCTGTGACTAAAAGCCTGGCCTCAGCAGTCAGAGAGCCCCCGATTCCATCCCAGCCCACCCTCTACCAGCTGTGTGACCTTGGGCGAGTTAAATAACCTCTCTTCAAGATCACGGTTTTAAACCATTTACTGTTAGTGACAGCAGACTGCTGATGACTTACATATTGATTGAGGATCCAGAAATTCTCTTATTTCTAATAATTTATCTTGAGTGTGCTAAGCAAATCATCATTGTTTGTGAAAAATGGCAGTTTCATGTTTTTGGTGTGTTCGTTTTAATCCTACGACACAGTCTAGGACGTCCAGTATACTATTGGATAAAATGATAATGATAGATGTCTTTGTTTCATCCTTGATTGTTTTTCAAAAAGTATGCTTCTAATGCTTCTCCATTAAGTATGATGGGTTGGTAGATACCCTTTGTCTGCTTAAGAAAATCCCCATCTAGTCCGACTCTGCTTTTAAAATTGGGTTTTCTTTTTAATCATGAATAATCGGCAAGTGCTTCTTTGTTCAAATAATCTTGGGTTCTTTTCTTCTTTGATCTGTTAATATGGTAAGTTAACAGAATAATACTCAACCAACTTTGCATTCCTAAAATAAACACTCCTTCATCATAGCTTTGTTAATATATTGACTTGTTTTTAAACTTATATACTCATCAGTTTCTTGGCCTATATGTTTCTCTTATTTGGGTATCAAAGTATGCTAGCCTCATGAACTGAGGGATGGAGGCTTCTTTCTTTCCGTGTGCTGGAACAGGGAATATAAGACTAGGATTAGCTGTCCTTGAAGACCTGGGAAACAGATCTTGTCAAACTTGCCCTCAAACCCATGTTTTTCTCTATCTATGAGATCTCCTTAGATCTCATTCATTCCCATGGTTTTAAAGATCATCTATTCAAATATTCTGAAATTTATTTCTGTATATGCACCCTCTTTCTTGTGCTCCAGACCCTCTATCCAAATTAATATATTTAATAGGTAACCCAAACTTAACAAATCTAAGTCCAATGTCTTGATTTATATCTATAATCTCTTCTACCCCCAAACCCCATCCTATCCCAGTAGTTTCTTTTCCAATTAGGCAAAAAAAGACCCGCTCTAACACCCTATATCTGAAACACCAGTAAATCCCGTTGGCTCTACCTTCACGATACACCCCAATCTGACCACATCTCACCACCTCCCTGCTACACCCCGGTGCAGGTGACCATCACTTCTTGCTCAGTTTTATTGCAGGGCCTCTGACCTGGTCTACCTGCCTTCACTCTTGGTCCCCTATAGAATACTTCAAGGATCTTCCCCTGGCAGAATTAAATCCAGCCCACTGCCTGTTTTTTGTAAATAAAGTTTTATTGAAACACGGCTATACTCCTGCATTTCTATATTACCTATGGCTGCTTTCACTCTGTAACAGCAGAGTTGAGTCGTCTCCAGAGACCACATGGTTTACAAGCCTAGAATACTTGCCATCTGGCCCTTTACAGAAAAAGTTTTCAAACCTCCGGTCTATTCTATACACAGCTGCCAGAAAGATTCTTTTGAACAAAATTTGGTGTTGCTTCTCTGCTAGAATACTTAGCTAAGTCAGTGGCTTCCCACTTGATTGAGAATGAGATCCCAGATCTTTTATGTACTGACCCTCGGCACCCTCTTTGACCTCAGCCTTTGCTACTTTCCCCCTTGACCCTGCTCAAACCACAATGGCTTCCCTGACTGTACCTTGAAAACTCCCAACATAACCCTCAGAGTCCTTGCATTTACTGTTCCCCATGCCAGGGACACACCTGTCCCTTACTTTCATCCATTCTGTTCAAATGTCAACTCATTAAAGTGGTCTTCCCTGACCACAGACAGCATCCCCTCTTCCTTCTGCACCCATAATCACTTTTCCCCCGTCGGACCCATCGCTGGCATCAGTTTTCATTTGTGCATTCTTTCTCCCCAGCCAGAATATAAGTTCCAAGAGAGCAAGGACTTGGCCTGTTTTGTTTGCCGCATTATCCACACTGCCTGTATAAGAGTGCCTGGTATACTGTAAGAACTCAATATATAATGAAGAAGTGAGTAAATAAGCAAATAAACTATGTGGGACTGGTTTGATTTTAAGTTATCGTAATTTATTTAATAGTTTTTGATCTACTCAGATATTTCTATTTCTCTGAGTCAGTTTCTTTTACTAGATTTATTGAGATATAATTTGGAACAATGAGATTCATCAATGTTAAGTATACAATTTGATGCATTTGACAAATGTATATAATTATGTAACTATCACCACAATCAAGCCTCTTTGCAGTCAATCCCTTCCACCTACCACTGCCTCTGGCATCCATTGGTCTACTTTCTGTCACTATAATTTTGCTTTTTCTAGCATTTCATTAAATGGAATCATGCAATGCGTAGTCTTTTGTGCCCAACTTTTTTCACTTAGCATACGCTTTTGAGATTTATTCATATTGTTGGTGAGACAGTAACGTGCTCCTTTTCTAAGTAATGTTCCACTCTACAAATATATATATGTGTATATGTGTGTGTGCATGTGTGTATATATACACACACACACACATATATAAAGTTTTGTTTATTCATTCACCTGTTAATGGAGATCATTGGGGTAGTTTCCAGTTTTACACTATTATGGATAAAGCTGCTGTGAATATTTGAGTGTGAGTATTTGTTCGGACATCTGTTCTCTTTCCTCTTGCATAAATACCTAGGAGTGAACTTGCCAAGTCATAAAGTAAGTATATGTTAAACTATAGACAAAACTGTCAAACTGCTTTACCATTTTGCATTCATACCAGCAATTATGAGGATTCCAGTTTCTCCACATCCTCCCCAACAGTTGTTATTGTCTAATTTTGAGCAGGCATCTTAGTGGATGTGAACTGATAGCTCAATGTGGTTTTGATTTGCATTTCCCTAATGACTAATGACATTGAGCATCTCTTCCTGTGCTTATTGGGCATTTTTGGAGAACTATCTGTTCAAGTCTTTATTCATCCCACAAATTTTGATAAGTACTGTTTTTCACGTATTTATACTGAGTTCAAATCGTTTTATAGTTTCTTTGGCCACTGGGATATTTCGAAAAGATTTTCTAAGATTCTTTAATTCATTTCTAGTTTGATTCTATTGTGGTCGAAGAATATGCTCTATATTATTTCAGTCTAAACTGTGTTGTAACTTGTTTTATGATCCATAACTTGTTCTTGCTGGGTGACTATTTCATTTACAATTGAGGAAAGTGTGTTCTCCTGTTGTTGGGTATATTTCTCTGTAAATGTCAATTATATCAAGTTGATAGTTTTGTTCAAGTCTTTTTTATCTTTACTGATTTTGTGTCTACTGGATCTATTAATTACTGAGAGATGCATGTTGAAGTCTCCAACAATAATTGTGGCTTTGTCTATTTCTCCTTTTAATTCTTGGTTTTTACTTCATGTATTTTTTATTGGGCACATACACTTCTAGGATGGCTCTATCCTCTTTATTAATTGATTCCTTTATCATTATGAAACGTCCCTGTTTATCCTGGTAAATATTCTGAAGTCTACTTAGTCTGATTCAGATAGTCAATCTAGCTCTCTTTTGACTAGTGTTTGTATGGTATGTTTTTCCAGTTTCTTTATTATCATTTTATGTTTAATCTCTGTATCTTTATATATAAAGTGGATTTCTTTTAGATACAGTGTAATCGAGTCTTTTATCCAATCTGATAATCTCTGCCTTTTAATTAAGAGTGTCTAAACTGTTAATATTTAATGTAATTATCAACAAGATGGGGCTTAAATAGACCATCTTGCTATTTGTTTTCCTATTTGCCCCATCCCTGTTTCTTTTCTGATTTTCTTTTGGTTAACGAAGTGGTTTTTATGATTATGTTTTCATCTCCACTATCAACTTCTTAGCTGGACTTCACTCTGTTATTATTTAGTAGTTGCTCTGGAATTTATAATGTACATCTTTAACTTACAACTGTCTATATTCAAACACTATTATGCCACGTTACGACATGAGAACTTTACTACAGCATATTTTATTTCTCATTTCTTATCCTTTGTGCTATTGTAGTAATTTTTGCCTCTACATATGTTATAAATCCCACACCACATTGTTATTATATTTGTTTTTAAATGGTCTATATTTTAAAGAGATTAGGAATTAGAATAAAACATTTTTATATTTACCATTTCTGGTACTCTTCATTCCTTTGGGTAGATTCAGATTTTCACTTTGGTGTCATTGTCCTTCTGCTTGAAGGACTTAAACATTTTTGTAATGCAGGTCTGTGCTTGCGATTAATTCTTTCAACTTTCGTATGTGTGAAAGTCCTTATTTCACTTCAGTTTTAAAAGGTATTTCCACTGGATTAAAAAAAACTATTTTTTTAAATTTCAACACTTATTGCTAGTAGATTTCTCCAAACATAGCTTGCATAATTTGGAGAAATCTACGAGCATCTTTAGCTTTACTCCTCTGTATATAATGTCTTCTTTCCTCTGGCCGCTTTTAAGATTTTCTCCTTACTGCTGGTTTTGAGCAAATTGATTACGAAATGCCTTGAGGTTCATTGAACTTCTCAGATATGCGGGCTTATTATTTTCAACAAATTTGATAGTTTTTTTAAGCCATTATTCAGATATTTTTTTCTGCTCCCCCCTTCTCTCTCACCTCCATTGAGGAATCCAATTACATATATACTCAGCTCCTTAAAGTTGTCCCAAAGTTCGTTGATGCTCCGTTCATTTTCTTAAAGTATTTTTCCTCTGTGTATTTCATTTTGGATAGTGTTTATTTATTCAATATCATTATTTCTTTCTTCTGCAGTATCTGATTTGCTGTTAATTTCAT